CTGTCAGCTGCTGGCAAAGTCCACATCAACGTGTCACAAGAGATGGATGCAGCCAAAAGGCACATGCCCCAGTGTCTTGGTAACCCTTGTATCCCAATTCCATTTCAGAATGAAGAACTGAAAAGAATGTTTTCGAGGGCAAAAAGAATCAGATTTGGGAAACTAGAGGATCTATAATCATCAGATGCTGCCAGAACTTCAGAACTTCATTTACTTCTTTAAGGGAAATAACTGTATATAATTTAGCACACAGGACACACTAAATATAATTATAAATTGAGTAGCTGTAAAAAAAAAGCTACTGCTTTTTTCACTCATGAATTTATCTAGGCCTGACACTAAGTACCTTAAGGCAATTCTATGTCTATAATTTCTTTGCTGATTCATCTCCAGAAAGAGGAAAACAAATTTAAAAGGTTGCAAGCAGAAAGTATCAATCCTGTTGACTTGAAATCAAAAAAGGAAGGTTATATTTGTTAGGCCCAGCAAAAATGTGAGAATAAAAAAGAACTGTATCTACATTGTAGATTCAGAAAACTCACATTCTCTGGATAGAGAACTGTGGCATCCCTCCATGTATTAATTGTAATGTATGTAGCAGCACAGTGTTAATATCTAGCAGTAATTTGGGCTTGGAATTGTAATTGCATAACACCAGAGCTTTGAACCATTAATTACTGAGAGCTTTTTGAAGGACTGACATGAAACAATATTTTATGTTTCCCATTCTTGGCAAAACACTTGAGATAAAGATTTCCTTTCAGTTTCAGGTTCCAATATAGGTATCTTGAAATTGGGAGAGAAACAGCAAAACAAAATAGACTGGAATATTTTCAATGAACTGCAGGAATCTTACAGTGCTTTTGATGGAGAGGATGGAGAGTCTTCAGCCTTTTCTGGCCACCAGCACAGAGAAAGGTGACACAAGAGTCTCTGGGACTGCACAGACTGGATATCCAGGGCTGCTCAGTGCTGAGAGACTCTGAGCTTTGCCTTTGATCCCTGAGGGATGACTGTGAGCTCCACAGCAGCTTTCTTTGGTCTGGGATGTACAACACTATTGTTCCTCTGCACACAACCCTCCCATGGGGCCAGTTACAAAGAATACCATGAATAATTAATTTACATTCCAAAAGAGAGAAGATAATAGGATAAAGGCACAGGACATTCAATCACTTCTTTTATAAAGGCATTTAATACTGCTTCTGTGGGAAGATTTAATTGTCTGCTGCTTGTATACAGCATGTCATCTTCAAATAATTGCTGATATTAACAGTGATAAAATGGCTTCAGAGAGGTGAAGTGACTTGGCCAAGACCAAAGAGGAAGCATTTGACTGGAGCTGAGAAATCAGTCACTTTCCTAAGGCTCAGTGCTCCAGTCTGAGCTTATAACCTGGTGTTGCAGCAGTATTCCATATTTATCCATCATTTACATTTTATCTCCTTCCTTCCTTTCCTCTAACTCTCACACCCATACAGAGTCAAGACAAATATTTTTAATTTCTCTAGCTGATTAAAAAACAAACCCAGAGCCCTTATGGTC